GACTTTGTGAGACACTGAGCAGAGGCTCCAGCTCACTGGTGCTGACTCCTTTCCCATGGATACTGAGAGATAATACATGGGTGTTGTTCTAAACTGTTAAGTTTGTGGTAATTTGTTCTGCAGCCACAGAAAAGTAATACATCATTCTATTTTAAGAAACTTCCAGGTCCTGTGGCCAAGTTCCCCTGTGTGTGTGTGCGTGCGTGCGTGTGTGTGTGTGTGTGTGTGTGTGTGTGGCATGGAGTTTGGGGGGTGGGGGTTATGAAGCCAGGTGGGAAGAAGGAAACTATGTTGGAGGAAGTAATGGCCCATTCACTGGGGGAGGGGATGAGCTTGATTAATGTGCAGGCCTACCCAGTGCCCGTCTTTGGGGAGCTGGAGGGAGAATGTTTCCTCCAGAGCCAAGGCTTGCTTTGCACTTGGGAGCTTAAATCCTAGACAGGGGCTCTACTTCCCCATCTTGTAGGTGGTGCTGGGGGAGCCTGTACTTGGAGGAAAAATTTACATTCTTTGTAAAGATGTAAAGATTTTTTTGAGTGTAGAGGTGATGAAGTAGGATATTTTGAATTAGTAGCCAGTTTTCAAGAAATCTTCTTTCCTTGAGTCTTTTGCTCAGGACTTCTGCCCTTCCTGCTTCAAGGAGAGGATGCTATTGGAGAAAGCATGGAAAGTGGGTATTCCTCTTAAGCTCTGCCCCTCATGGTAGCCATAGAGGAGCTGTGGTGCAGAAAAAGGCTTATGGGGGGGACACAGCCAAGTGAGAACACATCTCTCTGTCTGATTCCCCGAGCTGTCAGTGAAAGGAAACACAGAGGCAGAAGGATCCACAAGAAAGGGGCTCTTCATCTTTCTCCCTGGCAGAGCTGCAGAGAAAAGGAAACAACACCTGAATAGATCTGTGGGATCTGGAAACAGAGGGGACATGAGCCTGTGTCTTGGGACAAGTCCTAGGAAGTGGCAAGACCTTGGAGTCACTTAAGTGTATAGTTGGCCATTGTTCCCACTGCCAGGCCCAACAGAGATGCTAAAATAATTGTTGAGTGGAAGAATGAATACGTTGGAAGCCCCCTTAAAAACTCTCCAGGAGGACTTTCTTTACCAGCAGCAGGGAAAACTGATGAAGGTCATGTGACTCTGGTTCTGGGGTGAGGGCTGAGATACCCACACATCTGACAGCCCCCAGGTATGAGGAGGCCCTGCTGCCCGTATCTGGGCAGCAGATTCTCTGGGGGGCCCAGGGTTCTGACCTTGGGCAGCTGAGTCAGCTGTCTTAGGGAAGCTTGCAAATGGGTCCTTGTGCCTGGGGCATGGCTTCTCCTGGCCTGGGACCACCTGGCCCCTGCTCCTTGAACTCTGTCTAGGAAGCTCAGGGAGGTGGCCACATGGCTTCTCGGACCTGAGCCTGTGTTGGAACTAGGATGTGAAGCAGTGCAACAGGCTCTTCCTCATCACCTCTCTTCTGTGTTAAATTACCCAGAGGTGTTCGTAAGAACACAAGTTAATTAGTCGTTGAGCTAGGAGAGCCCCCTTTATCATAGTTTGTGTCAGGTCTGTACCCTAGAATCTGATGAGGTCTTTGGGTGCTGGCAGCACATATTTTAACCATTATTTTTTCTATTACGGATAATTCTTGCGCACACTGGAGTCAGACAGAGGTCGGCTTGAGCTCAGCTCCTGAAGACAAATGCTGGGGGTTTTGCTGGGTCTGGGGTGGTCTCTGTTTCATTAATACAACATATTCAGGATATATACTCGTTTCCTGGAAGCTCTGGGGATGGACAACATTCAGAGGGGTTTGGAAAGATTACTTAGAATCAAAGACACTGACGGGCTGTAGTCATGCTGGAGGGTAGGGATTGAGGAGCCAGTGTCTGGAACCATCCAGGACTGAGTTTGAATCCTGCCTCTGCCCCAGAAAAGATTTGTACATCTTTGAGCCTCAGATATCTCTGCCCTGTAAAGAGGGTAACTGTCCTGACTTCATATCACCGTTAAAATTATTGAAAGATCTGATGATCATGGTACCTGCTTGGCCTATTCATAAGCAGGTTCAACCATTCAAGGCAGGGGTTTTCAGCTGGGGCCAGTTTGCTCCCACAGCAGACATTGGGCAATGTCTGGAGACGTTTTAGGTTGTCATATCGGGAGGAGGGGTGCTCCTGATATCAGGTGGGTGTACAGACCAGGGATGCTGCTCAGCATTCCACAGTGCACCGGATATCGCCCCTCCAACCCCAGCACAGAGAATGATCTAGTCCCAAATGTCAATAGAGCTGATGTTGAAAAACCTGTTTTATAGTTGAAGCAGAGTGAATGTTCACTTGCTCAATAAATGGCAGGTCTAGTTATAAATAAGAGGGTTCAAAGGAACATGTTTTTTCCACAGTGGGTGAATTAAAAAGATTATTTTGTATACAATGCTTTGTTATTTATAGGCAATACATTTCACATGGTCCAAGATCTAAAAATTATACAGGGGGTACAATCCAGTCTCCTACCCTGTGCCCTCCCCCGAGGAACCAGTATCGCCAGTTTCTTGTGTATTTATCCAGATTTCCTCTATGCATCTACAAGTAATTGTATGCATATATATACACATCCATATTATATGAACACATATATTCATGCTACACACATTCTTTGCATCTTGCTTTTGTCACTGAATCCATTTTGGAGATAGCTTCCTATCAGGACACAAAGAACTTCCTCATTTTTCTTTTGAAGGTAACAGACTATGCCATTCAACGGGTGTCTGGTATTTTATTTAGCCATTCCCCTCTGGGTGAATAGTTAGGTTGTTTCTGTTTTCTTGTGGTTACAAATGCCAATGCAATGAATAACTTTGCATATACATCATGCATCATTTTCCACCCAGCAGATATATATCTGTTGGATAAAGTCCTACAAGTGGAATTGCCAAATAAGAAAATTTGTGCAATTCTGATTGTATTGGGTGTTGCCAAATTACCCTCCATTGAAGCTGTACCCAATTCCATTTCCCACTGGCAATGAATGTAGACGAGGAGGTGCAGTAATTTTATAATTTTTAAAATTTGCTCTCACTGTTTATATCTTCTCATCAAGAATCTTCTGGGAATAAATAAAAGGTGGGCATGCCTTATAATATTTTGTGCCCATCATATTCTCAGTGTTCAGGGACCCAGAATCTGCCCATGGGAGGTCTTTTAAGTGTTACAAAGTTAATGCCACTGGGAAGTAGCATTCTCTTTCTCCAGAAAAGGGCTATTTATTTCCTGCTTCCTGGCACTAATAGTTCCCAAATGACTTGCCTCTCAAAGAGTTTACATGTAGGAAAATCTCCCTCTGAGTGGTTGTTCAGCTTTATTTTTTAAGTTTCTGATTCAAGGGCCCCTTTGAGAGTCTGATGGAAGTGATAAAACCCTCTCCCCGAAAAAGGTACTAGCAGTTTGTGTATCATTTCAGAGCCTCCCAGAGCTGCCTTGGACCCCAAGGGAGTGGTTTTCTGGATAGGGGTGAGGCTTATACTGCCAGGCACCATTCCATACCCCACAAGAGGGGTCTGTGGATTCCAGGCTCAGAGCTGGGCAGAACCAGTTCCACGTGGCCAGGGACACCCTGGTTCCAGGCCTGGCTTCTTCCTTGCCCATTTCTTGGCCAAGTGACTGATGAGTTCTTTGGCCTCTCTGAGCCTTCATTTTCTCATCTGTGGAATGAGGACAACACTTGCTTTGCAGTATTGTTGTATTGGAGACATTGAAGCCTAAGCACCTAGCACATGCCTGGCTTCAGGCCCATGTTGGAGAAAAGGAAGCTGATGTTATTCTTACTATCGTGGAATCCTTTGCATTTTGGTATTTGGGATTATGGAATGACCACATTCCTTCCTATCACAGACACCTGGAACATGCTCTTCCCTATGCCTGAATGCTTTTCCTTCCTCTTGTCTCCTGTACTCTCTTTCAATTCTCAGTTCAACTGCTCCATCTCAGAGAGCCTTTTCCTGTTTCCAATTTCAAGTCAATTTGCCCTTGCTCTCTTCTGGAGAAACTCTTCTCTTCCTTCTCAGTGACTTTTCTAGTTGTAATGAGATCTGTTAGTATCTTTTCTTGTCTAATGTTGTGTCCTCCTCTTGAGCTACACGTTCTAGGTAAGCTGGGGAGACTGGCAAGGGCAAAGGTACTAAGACAGGTGGGGACTGGGTGGAGGCACAGGCAGGTGACCTTTGTGATCTGGAAAGAACCGTGTAAGGGAAAGAGAAATAAGAGAAGATAGGAGAGAGTGGATCAGGGGCCAGGTCATGGGGACTTTCTGGGCCACAGAGAGACAAAATTTGAATTCTCTTCAAAGAGTATTGGTGTCCCTCCAACTCTTCAGTAATAAGCCAGGGAATCCTCTAATCTAATTGAGCTCTTTAAACTTTAATGTTTTACTATTTTTATAAAGTTCTTTTAATAATTTACTTTTGTTTTTTTAAATCATTTTTTTTAAACGTTTATCGAGAGAGAGAGAGAGAGAGAGAGAGAGAGAGAGACGGAGCATGAGTGGGGGAGGGACACACACACACACACACACACACACACGGAATCTGAAGCAGGCTCTAGGCTCTGAGCCATCAGCACAGAGACCCATGTGGGGCTCGAACTCATGAACTGCGAGATCATGACTTGAGCTGAAGTCAGATGCTTGAATGACTGAGTCACCCAGGCACCCCTAATAATTTACTTTTGGAAAAGATCACCAGCCACTGTGTGTAAGGCAAGGTGCAGGGTGGGTGGGTCTGGGGAACAGGGAGCAGGGGCTAGGGAGGCTGCAGCTGTGTGGTCCTGATTCTGTCTGCAGACTGGGGCTCTGTAGCAGTGGGGTTCTAGAAACCAGAATATTCTTAGCTAGTGCTTCTTCCATTTGCATGAACTGCCTCCATCTCCCAAGAGCTGGTTGAGAATGAGCTGTATCTCAGGGAATGACAGACACTGGGGCTTCCACTAGCATTGGCAAATTGGCTGCAGAATGGAGCTTACCTGAGATGGTGGTGAAGTGAGATGGGGACGTCATTGTCACGAAGGGTGGTGTGAGGTACTTGGCCTTCACGCCCTCCTGGGCCAGGCGGTCCATGTTGGGGGTGTCCACATCCTGGTCATAGTTCCAGCGGAAGCCATCGAAGGAGATCAGCAGCAGCTTGTTGAAGTTCTTCCTTCCAGGGACAGGGTGGCAGCTGGCCCAGCCCAGCAGGACGGGCAGCAGCAGCGTGAGGACCCCAAACCCTGTCATGCTGCGAGCACCAACATCACAGAGTTTGTGGGCCGGCTCCCATTTTCTCCCTTTTTTATCTGCGATTGAACAAAGTCCAAATTGATAATTCTGCCTGAGCTCCGCTGTGGATCAAAACACCTGGAATGTAACAAGATGTCATGTTTTACGTGATGGAAAGTTCTGGAAATGGATGGTGGTGATGGTGGTACAACCTTGTGAATGCATTCAATGCCACTGAACTGTACACTGTAAAATGGTAAAAATGGTAAATTTTATGTCATGCATATGTTACCATGATAAAAATAAGTCAAACCATGTGAAATATTTTGGACTTTTATATCAATTCCGCTATTGTGAAGATTTGGGAAACAAATTAGATTGGTGCTTTCCTTTGCTCAGTATATTCTGTTTTTATAGGGAGAACAAATTGTTGTGAATTATGACTACAAACACAGCCACCATGGATTGAGGGCTTGTGAGGACTAGGAACTGTATATACATTATCTACTCCATTTAACTAAAAAAAATCCTAGGTAGGTTATTAGTTGGAAATGCCCCATAAGAAATAAAAAAAGAATACTGTGGCTAAATACACATAGGATAACACCATTTTAACCATTTGAAAGTGTACAAATTCAGTGACATTTGGTGCATTCACAATGTTGTAAAGCTATTATCTCTATCTAATTACAGAACTTTTTCATCCCATCAAAAGGAAATCCCATACCCATTAGCAGTCACTCCTCATTCTTCCCTTGCTCAGTCTTTGGCAACCACTAATCTGCTCTTTGTCTGAATTTGCCTCGCCTGGACATTTCATACATGGAATCATAAAGTATGTGACCTTTTGTGTTTGGCTTCTCTCACTGAGCATGATGTTTTCAAGGTTCATCCGTGTTGTTATATGCATCAACATTTCATTCTATTCATGGCTTATTAGTGTTCTACTGTATGGATATGCCACTTTTTATACATCCACTCCCCAGCTGATTGACATTTGGGTTGTTTCCACCTTTTGGCTATTGTGAATAGTGCTACTATGAATATTTGTTTGAATACCCTCTGCTTTCCACTAAATTTTTACAACATATCTATCAGGTGGTTTTTACTTATTATCTGCTGCATAAATAGTTCAGAGAGACTATGGAACCACTTCAAGGTACTACAGCAGATGTGAGGCTGGAACTTCAGTTTTTATACTTGGCTACATGTTTGCTGGGCATGGGAGGGGTGTATTAAATTTCCCAAGGGAACAAATTGCTTTGTATACTATTCTTTTTTTTAAAGCATACTATTTTTTAATGTTTATTTTATTTATTTTTGAAGGGTGGGGAGGGGCAAAGAAAGAGACAGAATCAGAAGCAGGCTTCAGGCTCCAAGTTCTGAGCTGTAGCGTAGAGCCTGATGTGGGGCTCAAACTCATGAACCATGAGCTGAAGTCAGCCACTTAACTGACTGAGCCACCCAGGTGCCCCACACCCCACATTTGTTGAGCACATATTCTATCCTAGGGGTAAGAGACACAGAAAAATAGATGCAGAGGTTGCCTGTGGGTGGCTCAGAGTCCAGGGGACAGGCAGACAAGTAAAGTATTACATGCAATGGAAGGGCCCTGCTGGAGGTGTGCATGGGAAGTGATGTGGGAGCAGAGATAGAGGGTCCCAACCTGGAGAAGCTGGGTAGGGGAGGGCTCCTTGGAGGAGGTGGTGCTAGATTTGAGTTTTGCAGGCTGGGTGGAATTAACCTGTTGGAAGAACCATCGCTCAGCCATCCCTCTGGATATGACAGCATCTGCTTCTGACCTCTACCTGTAGGTATATGGATGACATTTACCTTTGCTCTTTTAGAAAGATCTTTGCATTGTGTAAAGATGTCACCAATGGGTTTTTCTGTGACAGGAGTTGAAGGTCTGCTCAGGTATTTAGGGGAAGTTTTTGGAAGATTTTTATCTTGACATGGGGGACTGAAGGCTGGATATCAGACCCCACATCAATGACTCATTTCCCCCTTGCTGAAATTGCCTGGAATTCTGTTCCAGGTATTTGCTTAGGTTGAATCTTTGGGGTGAAGAGGTGGTGTGTTGGAGGAGCTCCATTGTGTATTTGCATAACTTGGCTTTTCCTATTAATTAGCGTGGTGTTTTGCTATTTGAGGGATTTCCATAGAATTTTGTGATGAGTGTGCAGCATTATGGTTGAGTGTGTTTTGAAGTTTTCCAGGTTGAGTGTGTTTTGAAGTTTGGGTTCATATCTTGACTCTGCCACTTACTGTCTGTGACACCTTGGCACAAGTCCCTTAACTTCCCTATTATTTCTGTTTTCTTCTCTGTAAAAAGGAATAATGATGTATTTTCTAAGTTTGTGAGACTTTGATGAGATACTGTACATTGGTAGGAATGCTCACTGCTCATGGGCTATCCATCTTCTCCCCCTCATTTCCCAGCCCCCTTGGAATTATAACCAATGTACTATGAGTGGAAGCCACATGCATGACTTCCAGCCTGAAGGTGTCTAGAGCTGGTGCCTGACCATCCCATTCTCTTATCCCCTGCCACCCCATTGACTGGAAGTCTTGTGTTGAGGTGTTAGGCTTCCCATAATTCTGGGTCTCTGAGTGACCCTATGGAGCATATTCCCCAGCCAACCTATGGTGCACATGGAGTGCGGGAAGTCAACCTTTGTTGCCAGGCCATTGAGATTTTGGGGGTTAATTTGTTGCTGTGGCATAACCAGTGTATCATGGCTAATACAGCAGGTAAAGTACTCATGTTGGTCCCTAACAATGTAAGTGCTCAACAGATGTTGGTTACTTGTAGCGTGATGATAAATTGCCACTAAAAATTTTGTTATCTGATCTGATGATGCCAATGATTCTATTTTGTGCTTGGACAAACTGGACTTGGCGTTCCTTTCCACATGTGGCAGGGACAGATGATTGAGGGACAGTAAAGCATTATTATCTTTAGTTTGTGTCCCTGGATACCCTTGGTGGCAATGAACAATGTATGCTACTCTGAGAAAGCCGGACCCAGAGGAGAATTGCTGTTGATCCCAGAATTGGGACTGTGCAAGGAGAGAATATTGAGTCTTGGTGTGTAGATTCTCCAAGGGAATTATAATACTTGTAGTAAGTGGTTTGGCCCTTTGAGAATTGTATACAATTGTATAATTGTAATCACTTAGGCCCTTTTTGGGACAATCTGTATGCATCTCTGTATTCTGGAAGCACAGAAAAAATAGCTTTCAATAATGCAACAAACAGTCTGCCATGTCCACTGAAACATCCCTGAAGTGCCACATTTGGTGTAATCAGCAGAATTTGGTGGAGGTAGTTGACTAGAGAAAATTCTCATTATGGTCAATATGATGCTTATGGTTATAGCAGTGTCTTGTTTTCTCTTTGGTAAGTTCTGGTTTGAAAGGCATAAATCCATCACTTGTTTATCAAATATTTATTGAGCACTTTGAATGGGGTGGAGGATGAAATATGGAGGAGAGAGTAAATCTCTTCTTGCCAGTATGTTTTCAAGCTTCTTAGTATTCAGCTCTGAGGCATGCAGGCTTGAGGGTCCCACAGTTCCAGAAGCAGCTTTCAGCCATGTCCTCTTGATTGTGCCATACTTCCTTGCAAGTCCAGTAGAGCCATCGCTGGCTCTTACTGTCTTTTGAATGGTTCATATATCAGTTATGGAAACTTTTATAAAATTTCAGTGTGTTGTGTCAAACCTAAGGATACCATTAAACTTTGTGAAGTTATAAGAATATCATTAAACTTTTTAGAGAAATCTGTATATTTATGACATAGTTAATGGAGTGGAGATGGGGAATTCCAAACACATTTTGGGAATTATCCCAGAAGGAGGTAATAGATAGAACTCTTGGTTGAAAGTGGCAAAAACCCATATATTATTAGTTTAGGTAAGAAGAGGGACCATGTTTGAGTCTGGTTTCACCCTGGAGCAGACCCTGAAACAAGGATGGGGGTACAAGAGTTTATTTGAGAGATAATCCTAGGAAGCACCACTAGGGGAGTGGGGAAGTGATTCAAGGAAGGGAAGGGAGCCAACATGGGGTGTTTCAGTCTTGGGTACATGCAGTGCTAGAATGATGAGTACGAATATGCTATGGGCATGGCCTCTGCTATGGGTTTTTTAGGGAATGATTTCCCATGTCACTGAAATCATCCTGCAGAAAGGCAGGGATTCAGCTGAGTTTCACAAGCAGGTACTCACATACCACCAGATTTCTCTTTCTATCTCTGTGTCTGCCTTTGCGTATCACCTTAATTTTCTTTCATTCAGGACTGGCTTTCTCCATAAGTTGAGGAATATGACCACAAAAGCTTCTGTATTTCCTCATTCCAGAATTCCTGTCATCACAGAAGATGACTATATTCCAGTTCCAGTTAGGAAAAATAATCCAAGGGAAGAACTCTGATCGGCCTACTTGGGTTAGATGCCCATCCCTGGACCAATCAACTGTGACCAGGGGGCAGGGCCATGTAAGCTCATGGCAGCCTTCACTAGAGCCACATGGCTGAAGTAGGAAGAGGTACAAGTCTCAGTAGAAGAGAGAAGTGGTAAGATGAAAAAGCTACATGTTTGTGATGAAAGGAAAGGATTAGGAGATGCATCCTGTTAAACCTAGTAATTATTGGGACTTAAACTTTTTGAATATCAAGTTTCATTGTGGTCCTCTCAGGATGATTCCCTAGAAAGGAAAAACCTATATGAGCTGAACATTTCCTATGCACAGGCTGTTGCTATGGGTTCAAGTTCTTATTGATAGATCCAAAGATCAATTAAAGTGTTTCTCAAGAGATGTAAACCATGTTAGGCACTGCTTATGATGAGGCCAAAATTAAGCAAGAAGAGAACTGGCATGTAGGACACTCTAATTTCTTTCTGCCATTGAGTACTGTCAGGTTTAGATTCTGGCTGGCAGTGGATACACCTCAAGGGAGGGTTGCATATAAAGGTGTGTGTGTGTGTGTGTGTGTGTGTGTGTGTGTGTGTGTGT